GTCCAGGTTCCACATGGTCTTACTGTGGTCCAGGTTCTATGTAGTCTTACTGTTGTCCAGGTTCCGCATGGTCTTACTGTGGTCCAGGTTCCACATGGCCTTACTGTGGTCCAGGTTGCACATGGTGTTACTGTGGTCCAGGTTCGATGTGGTCTTACTGTAGTCCAGGTTCCACATGGCCTTACTGTGGTCCAGGTTACATGTGGTCTTACTGTGGCCCAGGTTCCACATGATCTTACTGTGGTCCAGGTTCCACATGGTCTTACTGCGGTCCAGGTTCGATGTGGTCTTACTGTGGCCCAGGTTCCACATGATCTTACTGTGGTCCAGGTTCCACATGGTCTTACTGCGGTCCAGGTTCCATGTGGTCTTACTGTGGCCCAGGTTCCACATGATCTTACTGTGGTCCAGGTTCCACATGGTCTTACTGCGGTCCAGGTTCCATGTGGTCTTACTGTGGCCCAGGTTCCACATGATCTTACTGTGGTCCAGGTTCCACATGGTCTTACTGTGGTCCAGGTTCCATGTGGTCTTACTGTGGTCCAGGTTCCACATGATCTTACTGTGGTCCAGGTTCCATGTGGTCTTACTGTGGTCCAGGTTCCATGTGGTCTTACTGTGGTCCAGGTTCCACATGGTCTTACTGTGGTCCAGGTTCCACAAGGTCTCACTGTAGTCCAGGTTCCACGTGGTCTTACTGTGGTCCAGGTTCCATGTGGTCTTACTGTGGTCCAGGTTCCACATGGTCTTACTGTGGTCCAGGTTCTATGTGGTCTTACTGTGGTCCAGGTTCTATGTGGTCTTACTGTGGTCCAGGTTCTATGTGGTCTTACTGTGGTCCAGGTTCCACATGGTCTTACTGTGGTCCAGGTTCCACATGGTCTTACTGTAGTCCAGGTTCCACATGGTCTTACTGTGGTCCAGGTTCCACGTGGTCTTACTGTGGTCCAGGTTCCATGTGGTCATACTGTGGTCCAGGTTCCATGTGGTCTTACTGTGTTCCAGGTTCCACATGGTCTTACTGTGGTCCAGGTT